TTGGCATTCCTGATGGCCACGTGGGGATGTCACACAGGGAAGGACCCCACCTTTGTGCTAGTACGGTAGCGGTGACCTTCAACATGGCCACCTCTGTCTCTGGAGCCCGGCTAGCGGACCTAGTGTCAGCTCTCAGTGGCTGTGGCTGTCCCGGGAGTTCTTCTCTCTGCTGCATCCCTTCCTTTCCACTTCTGTAGGCGCTGCTTCTGGTCAGATCTCACGGCTGCTGGAGATGAGTGGTGAGACAAAGGCCGCCGTAGCCAGAGACTTGTGGGTGCTGATAGAAACCAACCGGGAAAACACAGAGGATTCAAGAGGGCCTGTTTTTTTTTTTTTTTTTTTTTTTTTTAAAGCAATAGCCTCTGTTACTGAAGCCAGAGGGGGAGAAAATTGGTGATCTTGGCTGGGTCTAGCGTGACTCAAAACCCTTCTTGATGCATTGGTGTCTCTGCAAGGAAATCTATTATTTTCCATAAACTGTCTTAAGCATCTCCCGGGCTACATTTCTGGCTGTGTTAAGAATCAAGCCATCAAGAACAGCTGTGAACGTTATACACTTTCAGCAGCAGCAATGGGCTTTGGCAGGGAAGTAGGAGCAAAAAAACCCAAGTAGGACACTTCGGTTGACAGTAATGGCATTTTCCCTTCGTTGTCCAAACGATAAAAGATTCATGCTCCTAATTGCAACACTATAGCTGCCCCCATCACTTTATTCTGGAAGAGGAGGTTAGAGAAAACAAGCCTAGAGAGAGGGAGAGAAAGAGAGAGAGGGAGAGAGAGGGAGAGAGAGAGAGAGAGAGAGGGAGAGAGAGAGATGGATAGTAATTTCGTCACTAGCTAACAGAGACTGATTAGTACAGAAGGCTCCCTTCCATAGCAATACTTTTTAATCAGGGCTGCTGTGTCTGGGCAAACAGCTTTTGTGGATTAGCTAGGCTCGAGCCTGCCAGCATCCGTTGCAAGTTTAAATGATGAAATACACAACCACAGAGAAAACAAATCAAAAAGAGTAATAAAGTCACACATTTCAATATTCGGTAACCATTAAGGGATTTAAATATTTGCTTGCTATTAAAGGCTTGCAAAATACACTCTTCCAACACCAGCTCTGGAAGACTGAAATATCAATTACGGATCAATTTTCCCCCCTAAGTAAACACTAATGCAGGATAAACAGTATTAGAAGATGCAATCGTAACATTGCTGACTTTAGGATGGACTTCCTGCTGGTAACAGCAAGTTTAAGCCTGGTGATTAATTAACCTGAGAAGATAGCACTTACGGAAGATTTAAGGCGATCATGTCTGAAATATGATTGTGAGCCGTGCACGTTTGGAGGGCAGCTGGAGTCCTGCGTCGGTTTGACCCTCAGTGGTAGTCTTCATTTTCCCCAGAATCACCACCCACAGCTCAACACCTCCAAGGATTAGGAGGGAGCAAAGTGGGAGTTGAGGGTGGGTGTGCGTGTGTGTGAAGAGAAAAAGCAGTAGACTTTAAGTCCCGTTCTTTGCTAGAATTAATTCTGTATTTAAATATGGAAGGTCCGAGTTGCACTTCCTGTACTGACCACCAGGGGCAGTAGACATGTTATGTTCGCTTTGGGAGGAAATATTAAAAACACAAAAAACAAACCAGATAACATCTCCTGTGTACAGAAGAGCCTGGAAGCTGAGGATTAGAAGACTTGAAAACAGAAGATTCTGGCTTTCAAGCCTCAGTTTTGGGGTGCTGACATTATCCTTGTGCCTAACACCCTCTTGCTGGCATGTGTAACGATGTGGTGTGGGGATGACATGTGGCTCTTATGGAGGCACACTTCACAATTTTGAGATGAACACAAGGCAAGGAATATGGTTTGGATGTTTGCAACATGCCATACCTCATTCTGAAGGCCCCTCACAATGTATGTGGGCAGTGGTGAGGCTTTGCTTAGCCATTAGCAAAAATGTCATTCTCTGTAGGGAAGAACAGATATTCTGTCCCAGCGGGTCCTTGAGAACGATGGGACTAATAGCAATAAACTCAGGGCTGGCTGGCTAACTTGTTCAAGGCCAACCTGAAGGCTACCTATATTGAGGATGGACTTCTAAATGTCAGGGTTGAAATACAGAATTGGTGACCTGTTCAGACTAAGTATAAAGTGAGATTCAGGCAACCAGATGCTTGGGCTGTCTCCTTGTAAGGATCTGCTACTTGCTACGTGCCTACTATGTGCCTACGTGCCTACTATGTGCCTACGACTGACTTCGATGTATTGCCCACAGAGTCTTTTGGATGTTGGCCGAGAGTCCCCTCCCCTTCTCCTGCACAGTGTGTCAGGACATCCAAGTACTTGATTCTGGAAATATTTCCAAAGCATACATGTGCAGCTGTGGATACAAGTTTCACTCTGAAGGAATTTGGCAGCCAGCTCTTCATGACTAAGGGCCATGTACTTGGCATCCTGGCAAAAAGGTGTGAGTATAAAAAGGGTCTTGGGCATAATTTTATAATGAAACAAAATGCCTTCACTTAAGCAGGGTCCTTCCACCTGTTGCCTGGTTGCTTTAAAGCTCTGAATGACAGAATCAAAGGAACATTTCTCTGTGGACTAAGCCCACAGCAGTACAAGGATTACGTTGCCAGTAGACGGAGGACAGTGAAAGATTGCGCCAATTACCATCCGCGTAGCACCTCGGGGTTCCAGTTGATGTATTTGGAGAAGGCAAGCAGGCCAAAACATTCATGAAAACTCTCTGGAGGAAATGAGGACCATTTGCACTCGCACACCGAAGGAAGGACTGGGCAACTTATCAAGCTCCTGCTGACGTGGACTGCTTCTGGCAACTTCCCCTTGCATACCCTGTGGGACCCAAGCGGCAAAAGTGCAGCAAGCCGCCACCTCACATCTGCCTCCGTTCACTGAACACCCTGGGTCCCCCTTGTCTGCAGGTCGCAGCTGAATCTGGAGCCTCACGCTACAGACAAGGGGAGAGGGCTGGGGACACTAAACATACCACGTGCCACGTGGCCTGGAATAACTACCCTAGCGAGTGGTGAGGACAAAGGGGTCCTTAAACATGCTAAGGCAAGCTCCACAAGGGCACGAGGTGTCCACAGGAACCCAGATGGCTCCCTTCACTCGAGTCGTGACCACTTCTTGGTAGCCTTGGGTAACCTCTGTCTCTTTCACCACCATTTGCCTCTATCCTGTATTATGATTAGCATGTAACATGTTTACTCTGCATCTGGCATATTATTCACTCAGCACTTACTGCCAATCTCACTTCTCTCTCCTGACACGGTGACCCCTCCCTTACAGAGCAGGAGACCAAGGCCTGGCAGGCTGGGGTACTCGCCCGAGGTTTCACAGCCAACAAGCGGTGGAGTGGAGACCGGAAGCCAGGCTGTCTCTTACACGTGCTCTTGACCTCTAGCCTCTATCACCTATAGGTCTTTTTACAGAGCTACGAAGAATCAGGGCTCCCCACTGCTCCCTGCCCTGGGGCAGAGGCTGGGAGAGGCCCCTGAAATCTTGACTCCTGTCTGGACTTTGAGAACAGCTAGAAGACTGATCCCACGCTCCACACCTCTCGTGATTTTGCTTTTTTCTTCCCATGCAAATCAGCGGGCTGGCTGGGCTTACTGCCGTCCATACCTCCGACTCACTTCGCTCTCCACTAGCCATCCTTCAAGGTCTAGCTGGAATCCCAGCTCCTCCAGGAAGCTGTCTCGACTCTCCAGGCTTCACTGATTTCCATTCTCCAAGAAATTTCCACGGCACTCTCTGGGCCCCTTAACCGTATCTGGGGTGCCCCCCACAGCTGAGGACCATTTCATGTGTTTATGTAGGTGTGACCGATGCCCCGGTTGGTCTCCAGAGATGATCTTACACTTCCCTGTGTTTCTCACGATGCTGAACATACAGCAGGTGCCCAGCAACTGCATGTCCAATTAGCAGATTTTTAGAGACAGCCGAGAGACCAGGCCAGGATGGAAGGGCTGAAATGAAGTATGCAGCCTTTGGTTTTTCTGGAGCTTACCTTTTCTCTCACTGCTGAACTTTCCCCACCACCTGCCCGAGAGAGAAAAGGGGAACTCAGCCACAGCTGGGTGAACGGTGGGAAAGGGCCATTCGGGGCGGCTCACGTGTGATCTGAGCATTTGAAAGATCAGCCACCATGAAGTGCAGTCATTGCTCGCCTCGGCCTGCAAGGCAAGGGGGACGGTGACAGACTTGAATCCTGCTGTACACCCGGCCCGGAAGCCCCAGCAGCCTAAACAGTAAGTGAGAACAATCTTCCGTTGGCGGCCAGGCTTGTCCTCTGCAGATCACGTCTTTTTGTTAAAGGAGAGAGAACTTGAAATGAAGCAGGATGAATTGTGAAGACACGAAATCCCAAAGGAAGAGACAAGTGGAGCAGGCAACACAGGGGAGTGGGTGTGGGGCGCTGGGTGGAAACAGGGGAGTGAGGGCGGGAGACGCATCCACGGGAGAGGCCGTCCTGGGCTGGCCCGCACTGCAGCCTGCGCACCTGCACAGAGGGCTGAGTCCGCGATGCCAGAGGACCTGGCCCACCTGTCCGCTGAGAGGGGAGGAGAGATCAAGGACAGGAAGGATGAGCAGAGGAGGAGAGAAGGCGGCCCGAGAAGCCCAGCCGCAGCACCTTCTAGCATCTACTGCCCGTGCTCCTGGCCCTGCGCGAGGTGCTAAGGAGGAAGCCGGACCAGGGGCCCATCTTCTCCCAGGCCGAGACGTCCGTAAGAAGTCCATAATGAGAAAAAAGGATCACTTTGTAACATTAATTTTTTTATTAAGAAGACAGATATTTTATAGTACTTTTTTTTTTCTTTTTTTTTGTAAAAATGGTATACATGAACCAATACAAAATGGGAATGGAACATATGGATATGGAGTTTCATACACTGTAACATCGTTCATGTACACCTCAAAACCAGAACTGCCTAAAGGGAAAAGTCAGACGTTGGTGTGACTAAAGAACAAGCTTATTTGGCATCAATTATACATCCTTCATTATTTTATATTCCTTTAAAAAACACAAAAAACAAGTTTGTTCTTTCTTCACTCTAAAAAAAGTGATCAACCTGTACAAAGTAATACTCAACAATACATTTCAAACAGTGCACTGTATACTTAAGAAAAAAATACATAAACCAATATACAACTAAAATCCATAATTTCCTGTTTTTGCTTTGTTTTATTATTATTATTATCTTTTTCCAATGCATGGGGCCTACACTTTGCAATCTACCTGAGACGGAAAACACCAATCAAAACACATGAACCTGAGACATGTCAACATTGTAAGCCATAGAGTCACATCAGGAGCACTGCACTACTGTACACTTTTCAAAACAGAAAGATGAGAGGTCCCCAAAATGAGATGCCAATTCAGTGAGCAATGGTAGGGTTTTGTGGGTTTTTTTTGTTTTTGTTTTTTGTTTTTTGTTTTTCCTAAAAAGAACAACTGAAAAAAACCTTTCAACGACATGCTAAATGGTTCTCACCCTTCGATACGATTATACTATGGTCGGAATGGGTGCTAAGGGCTCGGAATAGAGCTGCACATTATAAAATTCACTGAAAAAGGGATGTTTGTTGTGGCTTTTTGTCTTGGTTAAGTGCCTAGGGATAGGAGAGGGGAAAACAAAATGCTGCTCAATATGGATTTTCTTTTACATACCAGTCCGTTCCCAAAAGGCCCCCATGTCGCAATGGTTCTATCAAAGGTTAAAATAAAGACAAGAAAAATAAACACGCTTTCAAACAACAAAGAGTTGACACTTTTTTTCCCCTTAAATAAATCAGCATTAAGTTTTCCACATAATGTAACAATAGTAAAAATGCATCTTGCAAAATCCAAAATTACTCACTGAAAATGTTATATAATATATATTTATATATATATAGATCTATCTGTTTTTTGATGCCATCTTTCCATAGGGACTGTATTGTGGAGTCTGGAGCCTTACCAAAACATATGGTAAGAGTTTAGTTTTCGTCCTTCAGGACTACTTCTAGATTTCCTAGACATTTCAGTGAAAATCCCCACATTTCTTTAAAAAAATGTAAATGGTAACTTGACTGCTCTACCTTTTCCCGAGGCTCCCCATCTAAGATATGTTCAAGGTAACTTATTTTAGTAGCTATGCACTATGGCTGCCATCATGCGAGGATCAGTAATTTTTTGGCAGATGGTTCTTAAGGCTGAGGAAAGAGGCCAAGGCTAGTGTATGAAAGGTAAAAAGATAAAAACACTCACATTTGAGTTTTGATTAAGTCACTGAAAAATCCCTACATGCTGTTTTTCCACCTCTGCTCTGACCTTTCGAGAACTGAGATGGACAGCAGACCAGTTTTGAGAACAATACTGGCCCTTCTTTTGTACCTCCTGCCTTTGTCAAGCGAAAACTGAAGGAATGAAAGTTTCACACGGATTCGAGTTGGAAATCCCAGCATATGACAAATACCTGTAATATACAGTACATGCAGGCCACATCCTACTGCCTTCCTAACTAAGCACAAAGCAAAAAACAAAACAAAACAAAAACAAAACAAAAAAAACCCCTGTCCCATTCAGTCATTCACACACCAGACTGACTTGCTTTTTCCTACAAATGAGTGAGAAGTAAGGCCGATTGGGAAAGGTGGATGGAATCATTTGGAACAGAAATAACCAGAGCAGAACTATCTTTCCCCCCTCCCTACTTTCCCTTCTGTGGCAACTCAAATTTGCCCACTTATATAAATGGAACAGACCTCACCTGTCGCGTCTGTTTAGGGCACTGAAAAAGGAGGAGCCCTTTCCGCCCCAAACTTTTCTGGACAGCGTGGGGTATCTATACTGAGCCGTCTACAGATACAGAATTAAAGACAGATTCACTCTCATTGTGACACACCTCACTTGCAGATAACCCTGTACAGTAATGTAGTTCCACAGCAAACAGAACAGTTTCTGAATCACAGTCTAAGTTTTCTAGTCTTCACTGCTCTAAGTATTTGAAACATGGGCAGCAGCAAAGAGTTCTCATTGTTTGTTCACCCAAATCTTTACGACAACAGAGAAGAAATGCATTATGGATACACTAAATTCTGAACTATGAAATCTAAACTGTGCTGGTTCTCCTTTTATGAAACTGAATTTTGAACAGAAAGCAGTTATTTCAAAAAATAAACAAAGGAAAGGAAAAACAATAAGAAAATAAGGAGGGGGGGGGAAGATTCTAAGGAATCCCAGCAGGCAAAGTCCAAAATGGGAGATTTTGGGAAAAAAAAATCCAAAGTTTTTTGGGAAAAAATAAATGCGCACAAAGGAGGGAGGAGGAAAAAAAAAAAAAAAAAGGAACACAACGAACAAACGAAAAACAAGGCACAGAATTTTCTGCAATCTATCCAAACTAAATCCAAGTATCCAAGTTTGACTTGGTAGGAAGAAATAAAAATTGAAAAACCAAACAAACAAAAGAAGAGGTGTCAAACAGCAGAGTGTAATTTTCAATTTTCTTTCTTTCTTTTTTTTTACACAGCAAATCCCAAGCCTTCCCAGTCTCACACCTTTCCACCCATTCGTAAAAAAACACACGAATTTCTCGCAAATTCCAATATCACTGTCTCTTTATCATCTAAATAGGGCCAGTTGGACACCTCATTGAAACAAAAAGGCTGATCTAGATGAAGTACTCTTTCTTTTCTTCGGAGTTGTTCTGTCCTCCTTCTGCATTGATTATAGCTGTGTCTGCGTCTGCTGCGTCATCGGCTCCTTTGGCTTCATGAGTGAAGTATGTACCTGAAAGATGAAGGGGTAAAGCACCGTGACTGACTGATGGCCTCTGTGTAAAGTGGTACAGAGATGGCAACCTGCTTTATGGCCATCATCAGCCGAAGTGGTGTGCAGGCAGCAGAGGGGAAAAAACATTTGGAAGAAGAGAGCGAGGTGGGTGAGACAAATGGGGATCCGGGGGTTCCAAAGGCACCACTCCAACTGAACCGC